TCCAGGAAATCTTCATTTTCCCTTATGCAACGCAGAGTCGATACTCGTTTCTCCAGACCTCGAACCTTCTCTTCCAAGATGGAGACCAGCTTGCAGTTTGTACAGACAAAGTCGCTTCTGTCCTGTGGAAGAATGACAAACATGGCACAACCTGTGCAGGTTACAACAGCTGATCGCTCACTTTCCATATCACCTTCCTCTTAAGAGCTTCCTCAGCTGTTGCAGGAACTACTCAGAGAAACCTGCAGATGAACGTTAGTAGTAGACGCAGCGAACCAAAGGGCCAAACAACAGTATTCCCGCTCCACCCCAGCCAACAAGGAAAGTAAACGCTTGGACCTCTTTGGTCGTAAAGTATATGCATCCTAGACGCTGCAATTCCGTATAGCCAATTATACTGCAGTTCTTGCAAAATATGACCACAGAAACTATAAGTTCATGGACTTTATTGACGACATCCCAGAACAGAAAAAACAACAATTTACAGCTCTGGTTTCCGAGGGACAAATCATATCATGTACCGCTCTTCAAGCTGCCCTCGATGTAGCCAACACTGCAGCAAGATCGACCGCCACAGCAGTGGTCATGCGCTGAGGTTCATGGCTCTCCTTCTCTTTCTTTCCTCGAGAGGTCCAGAGCACCATTGAAGATCTTCCCTTTGACGGTGAAAAACTTTTTGCTTCCACCACGAACGACGTGCTTCACTCAATGAAGGACTCAAGGGCAACCCTCCGGTCCTTAGGTCTCCAGACACCTATGACCAGAAGACGACAATATAGATACCAACCTTACCAACGTCCACACTACCCCGCATTTACACAACACTCCCATAGACCACAGGAGCAACAACAACAACGCCAGAGACCAAGATTCCAGCGTCGTCGTCCCAATTTTGCAGGGGCGCCTCAACCCCCTCCAACTAATAGGCAGATTTGAAGCTTTGGTCGAGGGTTTAGAAAACAGCTTCAGCCAGCACACATATCTTTGCACACCGCCTACGACCATTCTCTCACCAATGGCAAAACATTACCTCCGACAAGTGGGTTATAGAGGTGGTTACAATTGGATACGCCATCCCCTTCCTCTCCTTCCCTCCCACCCACCCACCCACCCTCCCCGTCCCTCTTCAGGGACCCCTCTCATGAGCGACTACTCCTCCAAGAAGTGCAACATCTCCTTCAACTAGGGGCAATAGAAATTGTGCCAGAACGACACAAAGAGAAGGGTTTTTACTCCCATTATTTCTTAACAGAAAAGAAAACTGGGGGATGGCAACCAATCCTCGACCTCAGGAGACTCAACAAATTTGTCAAAAAGCAAAAGTTCAAGATGGTTACTCTCACCACCATAATCCCAGCGCTGGAGCACGGCGATTGGTTTTCAGCCCTCGACCTACAGGATGCCTATTTTCATGTGACTATACACCCAGCCCACAGACGCTTCCTATGTTTTACTCTTGGCTCAACACATTTTCAATACAGGGTTCTTCCCTTCGGACTGTCCACGGCCCCCCATGTTTTTTCCAAGATCCTAGCCGTAGTTACTGCCTACCTCAGAAAACAAGGGGTTGTAATATTTCCTTAACTCGATGATTGCCTCCTCAAAGCCTCAACGTTCGACGAAGCTCTCCGATCCACGCAGCTTACAGTCGATTGTTTCCTATCTCTAGGCCTGCAAATAAACAAAGACAAATCCACATTATGCCCCACCCAACATCTGGAGTTCATAGGGGCATACCTCGACTCCCGGACGGGATTGGCATCTCTTCCACCCGACCGCTTCAACTCCATAAGCCGACTGGCCACAAAAATTCGCAACAGTCCCCAGGTGACTGCCCGAGACTGTTTACAAATACTAGGTCACATGGCCTCATGCACTTCTGTCGTCCAAAATGCACACCTCTACATGAGGTGTTTCCAAGCGTGGTTGGCCACGGTTTACAGACTGAATGTGCACTCGCTAAACAAGACTTTTTCCGTACCTTTCCGAGTCAAAGATTCTCTACTGTGGTGGACAGTTCACTCCAACCTCTGCTGTGGAGTCCCCTTTCTTCAGGAGGCTCCATCCCTCATACTGACTACCGATGCATCTCTGACAGGCTGGGGTGCACACATGTCTCACCACACAGTCCAGGGGCTATGGTCTTCAACCGAGACCTCTCTGCACATAAATGTCGTAGAACTTCGAGCCATTCGCAATGCGTGCCGTCACTTTCTTCCACTAATCAGGAATCACCATGTACGCATAATGACAGACAACATTGCATGCATGTTCTATGTAAACAGGCAGGGAGGAGCTCGATCCCACTCGCTTTGCACAGAGGCTATGAAGCTCTGGAATTGGTGCATTGCGAACAACATCCGGTATCAGCTGCCTATCTTCCCGGAGTGATGAACACCACAGCGGACGAACTAAGCAGACGCTTTCCATGGGATCACGAATGGGAGATAGACGAGAAAACCATTCACAACATATTCCGCATTTGGGGTCACCCAACCATAGACCTTTTTGCAACTGCAAAAAACAAAAAATGTTCCGACTTTTGCTCCAGAGTGGGCCTGGGCAAACATTCCCTGGGAGACGCATTCATGATCCCAGGGCACCGAAACTTACTCTATGCATTTCCCCCGATACCGGTTCTCAACAGGGTCCTGATAAAAATACGAACAGACCGGGTCAAGGTGATCCTAATTGCCCCGTCGTGGTCCAGACAACCGTGGTTTCCGTTCTTCACCAGAATGTCGATTCGACCACCAATCTCGTTGCCTCTCCTCCCGAACCTCCTATCGCAACAACGTGGCTGATTTCTCCAGCCCAACCTGTCCATGCTTCACCACAAAGCCTGGTTCCTACATAGTTCTCCCAAAGCAAACTAGATTGCTCTGAACAAGTTCAAAGAGTGCTCCTACATAGCAGAACACAATCTACTCGCACCACCTATCTACGAAAGTGGAAACGATTCACACATTGGTGTTCAGCTAAACAACTTTGTCCCACGTCAGTATCTCTCTCACTCATACTTGATTATCTATTGGACCTTAAGCGATCAGGCCTTTCTTTCAGCTCCATCGGAGTCCTAAATGGACTAAATGCTGCTATTATAACTTTTCATGACAAAATTGATGATAATTCTGTTTTTGCTCACCCAGTCACCAAGCGTTTCCTCAAGGGACTCCAAGCCCTATACCCAGACATTAACCACCTACCACCCCGTGGGACCTTCATTTAGTACTATCTTGCCTAACTCAACAACCATTTGAACCCCAGCCACGTGCTCCCTCTTACACTTTTCGATGAAAATAGCATTTTTAGTGGCAATTACCTCCGCCAGACGGGCAGGAGAAATAGCAGCTCTTATGGCAGACCCACCATATACGCTATTTTTCAAAGACAAGGTTACCCTCAGATTACACCCCAAATTTCTTCCTAAGGTGCATTCGTCATTCCACATTAATGAGCCGATACACCTACCAGCCTTTTTTCCAAAACCACGTGCGAACTCGTTCGAAGCTACAATGCATACATTAGATGTACGCAGGTCCTTGTCCTTCTATTTGGATAGAACCAAACCTTTTAGAAACTCTTCTAGACTTTTTGTCTCCATTGCGGAGCGTTTCAAAGGTTCTCCTATTTCTACCCAGAGACTTTCAAACTGGATTTCTCAGTGCATCCGGTTGTGCTATCAGATGAAGAAGGTTGCACCTCCAGAGGGCATCAGAACGCACTCCACTAGATCTCTGGCTGCCTCTGTAGCATTTTTACGCAAAGTTCCCCTGGCTAATATCTGTGAAGCAGCCACTTGGTCCTCTGAACACACATTTGTTAAACATTATGCCCTTACTCAAGGCCCCCTTTCTGATATACGTTTGGGCAGGGCTGTACTATCTACGGCATTCCTATCAGATCCGAAGTCCCTACCTCCTTGAGACACACTGCTTTTAAGTCACCTGGAGTGGAGCACCCACAGGGACATCTCTCAAAGAAGAAGAGGAGGTTACTCACCCTGTGCAGTAACTGATGTTCTTCGAGATGAGTGTCCCTGTGGGTGCTCCACTACCCACCCCCCTCCCCTGTACTTCAGAGTTTTGGTAGCCTCCGTTGTAGAGAAGGAACTGAGGAGACCGGCCACGCATGCGTACTGTTAAGCTAGACTCACAGCTGGGGGGCAGCCTCTGCGCATGCGTGGCCGGTACGAGTACTGCTGCAAAAATCTCCGAGCAAGGGCGCAGGGACCAGCACCTGGAGTGGAGCACCCACAGGGACACTCATCTCGAAGAACGTCAGTTACTGCACAGGGTGAGTAACCTCCTCTTGTAGAAACCCTTGCTTTGCTGTTAATGTCACTGCCACAAGTTGGGGAGAATGTAAGACATACAAATGCTGCCCTCTTGAGAAATTCAAGTATTCCTGCCTTTCAAGCAGAAAGAAAAGTGTAGAGAGAAAAAAGGCCTCCAGTTTGAATGTATTGGATGAGAATTCTGCTGATTCTGAGCAGAAGGCATGAGTAAATCTTCTGCATCTCATCCTGTGCTTGTCACCATCTGTCTAGCATTTTTAATTAACCAAAGGTACTGTAATACTTGCTCATGCTTGTTGGGAAATTAAATTCTCTCAGACTGAAATGGTTTTCACAGTTTGAGTTCACGTTTACATTCCCCTTTTAAGTGTGAAGTTTACAGCCTAGAGTTACACAGGAAAGCTCTAAAAGGAGCTGATCCTCATTTTCTCAAGAGGCCTCTCAGTGAAAGCAGGACCAAGAGTGGTGTGTTCTTTCAGCATAAGAAAAATCATGAGAAGACTGATGTCTGGGGTTTTTTGTTTGTTTTTATAGTAGGGGTAGAGCGGGAATTTAAGTCCACTTGATTCCCTTCTCAATCTGATGAATGGCTGGCTAGCTTGTACTGTGCCTTTGAGGGAGAAGGAGGGGTGCAGTGCATTTCTATATGTGTGCATGTTCGTCTGTATGTTAAGCGTTTTTTCTGTCTTGTGTCCATTCACAGCTGTGATTAGCGCTCATCCCATCCATTCACTCGATAACCCTCACCATCATTTCCACTCCGGCAGCCTCGCTTCTCCAACTCGCAGCTATCTCCATCATCAGGTCAACCCTTGGCCGATTGGCACATCCATGTCCCATTCAGACAGGGCCAATTCCACAGGTGAGAGATGAATGACCAGGTAGCATTCATTTGAAAGGGAACTATTCACAAAACATATGTGGAAAGCAAAGTTCCAAGGAAAACCCTCAAGTCATCTTTAGTAGTTTGGATCTGATCAGTCTCCATTGTTCTTATTGTCTCCTTAGAAGTGAGAAAATAACATCCTTATGTCTACTGATATTTTTTTCTTTTCCAATGTTAGACAATGAGTCTCCTTGTTTTGAATGAAACTAAAATTAACAAAAATGATTAGGGGTCTGGAGCACATGACTTATGAGGAGAGGCCGAGGGAACTGGGATTGTTTAGTCTCCAGAAGAGAAGAATGAGGGGGGATTTGATAGCTGCTTTCAACTACCTGAAGGGGGGTTCCAAAGAGGATGGAGCTCGGCTGTTCTCAGTGGTGGCAGATGACAGAACAAGGAGCAATGGTCTCAAGTTGCAGTGGGGGAGGTCTAGGTTGGATATTAGGAAACACTATTTCACTAGGAGGGTGGTGAAGCACTGGCATGCGTTACCTAGGGAGGTGGTGGAATCTCCTTCCTTGGAGGTTTTTAAGGCCCGGCTTGACAAAGCCCTGGCTGGGATGATTTAGTTGGGAATTGGTCCTGCTTTGAGCAGGCAGTTGGACTAGATGACCTCCTGAGGTCCCTTCCAACCCTGATATTCTATGATTCTGTGTTTGGTTTTTTGCGTGGCAGCTGCAACTTACCTTGCACCACACCTCATCACAGTGAAAAATGTGCTTTGTATAACCAATTCAGCACTGAGAGTCCATCTCTGGAAATAGTGTTTGCTAGTTCATTCCTACTGAAGACCAAGAATGGAACAGAAGAATTATCAGCTTTATTTTTATTTCTCAGCAATGGAGTGATGAGTTAAGAATGAACAAAATATCCTTGGTACTTATGAAGATTTTGTCCCATTATCTGAATTTTGCATGGGTCAAATGTTGAGCCTGGGATATCGGATAGTGTCCTTTTTTAGCATCTATAGAATCTGAAACCCTGTTTACATTTAATTTGCACACACTTAGAACATTAATAATTTTCCTGGTTGGTTGTGTTAAAACAACAAGAAAAAAACATGATCTTTCCTACATAATGTTTTTAAGCTTCAAGCACAGTGGTGTGTAAGTACAATTCTTGCAGTATTCCTATTAAAGCAGCCAGTGCTATAAGAAATATCTAGGCAACATTGCTGTGTATGCTGTAAGAATCACAAATAGTTAAACTTCTTAGGATACAATGAATGCAGTGCCTCTAGTCTGTTGTTAGGTTCTGAATCCTGATAAGGTACCATAGGCAACAATGAAGCTTGTACTGTTGTTTTCTGGAATGTTTCAGTTCATAAGCAAAGTTTCAAATACCTCATGAAGCTGCTAATATGCAGATGAAAGATTGTGTTCTAGTAGAAGGTATTGCTTGTTTTGTTTTGTTTTTGTACTATTCAAATGATTATGGGAGTAGCAGCTCTGGCAGCCAAGATATTTTCTTGTGCACATACTAGGTCAGATAGAGATGCCATAAAAATGCAAGATTCCCTTTCATTGCCCTGCCTTCATGATCCTCTAGAAGATTTTGGTTTCATCTATATATCGCAATGATTGGTGATATATAAACATCTAGGTATTTTTAGTAGTTATAAAGTTGTGGAATGTTCTAGTCTCAAATTAAAATTAAGATGTGCATCACATGCTGTTTATTCCTTAAGCAAAAGCTGATGATGATGCAGAATTTCACGGTGACTTTGTGATTCGCCATATCGATTGCTTAGGTATTGGGCTGATAATAGTTTCCCTTTGGAGCTATGTACTAAAATGAACTCTTCTCTAATAGTCGACTGACCACCACTTGGCATATTATATCTTGATTGCTGCATCCTATTTAGGCACAGTAACCTAGACAAAAAGACAGAGAAGAATTTAAGTGCACACAGGTAACATTAGGATGAGTGTGGAGAAGAAGTCATTTGTGAGTATGCAATGTGGAAATGTGAATGGGATACACATTTTTAGATATTAAGATTTGAGACACACTGTCGTTAGACCAATATCATAGACCAAATCTATATCTGAATTAGCAGTGATTTTGTTTTTCTCCTTGTGTTTCTTATTTGCCTGAAAATAAGCTGCAGAACCCTTGTAGGACAGCAAAACCTCTGGTCAGCTGTGGACTCCTTTGGTGCCAAAGCTTGCATTGTCATGGGATGGCTGTTTTTTTGTTTGTTTGTTTGTTTGTTTTTTTCTTTTGTCTTGTGAAATTTTTATGGACTTACTTCTTAAAACAGGGCAGTTACATAGTATTGGATGTTAAGTGCTCAGGTGATTGGTGATGCATGAATCAGTTCCCTAGCTTTAACCAGGATCTTCAGGAAAAGCGCTTGGTAAAGACTCCTGCTTTGGTCCCATGTGGCTATTGGGATGCTGCAAAAGGAAATATTTAATAGCCTAGCTGAAAGGAGGGAAAACTTCTGTGAAAGAAAATAAGCCCCATTTTTACTTTTCCATTGTAGAATCTGTTCGAAATACACCGAGCACAGACACCATGCCGGCTTCCTCATCTCAGACATGTTGTGCTGACCATCAAGAGCCAGAAAGTGCCACAGCATCTTATCTGGCCAATGCGCAGGAGGAGGATTCAGGTCAAAGTCTCCCTACTGCCCACGTCCGTCCCTCTCACCCTCTGAAGAGCTTTGCAGTGCCAGCAGTTCCACCCACAGGTTCCGCATATGACCCAGCATTGCCAAGCACACCATTATTGACGCAGCAAGGTGAGCAGGGTGGGGTGGAAGGATAAATGACATGGTATAGCTCTGAGAATCACAGTGCATATCCAGCACGTGGAGGAGGATAGAGTGACGAATAGTGGAGTTGTCAGTGGAGATAGGTGAGGGAGGGAGAGGAAGGGGATCAAGAGGAAAATGAGGAGATGCTTTTGGGAAAGATTGCACCTGACATCCAAGGTGAGATGTTAGAGAGGCAGTCAGAGATAAGACTGGGCTGAATTTCATACATTTAGTTTTCAAGCACAGGAATAAACTTCATCTTCAAGTGTTTGGATAATCCAAAGGGATGTTCAACTCCAGCGTTCATTAATTTGAAGCATTAGTTCTAACCCACTGGAAAACAGTTGTAATCTGATAGAACTCTTTTGATCTGGCCAATTCAAGAGCATTCTCCGCACTGTGGCAATGCTGCTGACATTCCCATAACCACCTTCTCCGTCTGGACAGGGAAATTATGGCTAAGAGTCTAAGTTCCCTGTAAGTTGCATGGCCACGCAGTAGCCTATTTTAGCGCCACACAGGCGCTCAGGGAGCCCCCACCTAACCCAGCCCCCAACCTACCATGGAAGGGGAGTCCCTCCCCTGGCCCCAACTCAGCCTGCAGCCCGGACCTGCCGCAGCTGGGGTGGTGTGGCCGGATCAGCTGGGGCGGCGCGGCCCAGGCCAGCCCCGGAGTGGCCCAGACCCGGCGGGGTAGCATGGCCCGACCCTGGATTGGCCTGGACCCAGCTGCAGCCAGGGTGGCCCTCCCCAGGCCCAGACCTGCTGGGGTCGGGGAAGACTTGCCTATCCTGCAGCCCCAGAGCTCCTGCGGTGGGAAAAGGCGCCTCTCCCCCCCGTCCCAGGTGCTGCCGGTGGGGAGAGAGCACTGAGGGGAGTCCTCTCTCCCTACTGTGGCCCCGCAGCACCTTCCTGCACTCCAAACCTCTCAGCCCTGGCCCCACCCCAAAGCCCGCATCCCCAGCTGGAGCTCTCACCCCCTGTATTCAACCCACTACGCCAGCCCTGAGCCCCTCATCCCTGGCCCCACTCCAGAGCCCACACCCACAGCTGGAGCCTTCACACCCCTGTACCCCAACCCTCTGCCCCAGCCCTGAGCCCCTTCCCACACTCAGAACCTCTTGGCCTCACCTCCACCACATGAATTTTTTTATGTGCACCAATATGAAGGTGATGTGTCACACATCACCTCCATATTTATGCACATAACAAAATTCATTCTGCACATGGGTGGGAAAAATTACAGGGAACACTGCTAAAAGTATGGAACATTTTTGCTTTAAGCTTCTAACCATCCAGTTCACTCGGTGAAGACTGCATCGATCGGGACTTTAGGGAGAACTCGACCACCTATGCCAGTGGTAGTGCCCAGCGCCCCCGATGTGCAGGAGACCACCAGGATGCTTGAGGACTCAGAAAGTGTAAGTGTATTTACAGCTTTCTTGGCAGCACTTACCACAGCATGATAAACCTCCCTGGATGCCCGTGGAGAACATTATAGAAATGCTAACTATAAGGAAGGAGATTTCAAAGGCATAAAAGGCAGTTAGGCACCCAGGTCAGGCACTCAGGTATAAGAACCTATATAGACTAGACTAGAACTCCCATTGACGGTCAGTGGGAGTTGGGCTCTGAACTGTCTTTTATGCCCTTGATAATCTCACCCAGGGCAAACTCCTTTTATATTTTGTGGTGAAGTTAAGGACTTACTACTTAAATTTAAGGCTAAATAGTGATTGTTAGAGCCAAGCCTATGGTAATGCTCTGTCAGTATACTTCTGCCTTGGTGTGCACTACTCCCTCTGTTCCACTCCAGGAGCCTTCCTGAGCAGAGATTGACAATTTTACCAAATGCAGCAGAACCTCAAGTTAACAAGCCTCTCGGTTACGTGAACGTGGGATAATGTTGTTCCCCCAGGCTTCCTGCACAGTTAGCTGAGGAGGAGGAGTTGTCCAAGCCTCTGGTTTTCCCTAACCTGTCTTGGTGAAAAGAGGAGTAGGGTAAAGAGGAGCTATGTTTGACTTCTGCACTGGACTGTATGTGCCAAAGAATTACTGACCAGAATGGGAAGCCCCAGCGAGCATTGTTTGCTTTCCTGGAAAGCCACGGCTGCTTCACATGCTATGATCTTGCCCAAGCTGGCATTTCATTTCCCTACAGTTGTTGTGAAAGAAGGCTGTGCCTGGATTTAACTGTTACTAGAAATCCCATAGCTGTAATCTCATGCAGCACAACCATGTTACATCCCAAGAATGAAAAGTGGGGGTGACAAAAGGGGATAGTTGAGGATTAGAGTCAAAACACTTAAACCTGTGACCCTAAATCCATATTTAGGCTCCTGAATGAAAGTGGCTTGATTTTCAAAGATGTTGAGCAACCCTAGCTCCCATTGAAGGCTGTGGGAGCTACAGATGCTCAGCATCTTTGGAAATCAGGCTACTTTTTTTTTGGTAAGTGAGCAGTCTAACTAGGCATCCAGCTTTGAAAATGATAGCTAAAAATCCTTTGTAGCTGACACTACCATAGCACTGCTTCAAATCATTATCTTTGATGTACTTTGTGTTGTGGGTGCAGAAAATGTTTAATTTGAAATTTCTGTTTTTCTTCTCTTTTTCCACTTTCCCTGTGTTTTTTCTCTATCACACTGTATTTGTCAATAATTCACCCTTTTTGGTTTGATTTCTGTATGTTTTGTTGTGGTTTTGTTTGCATGCCCGATTCTGGTGCACCCTTTGCCCATCTGTCTCTTACTCCTTTCATCACTTTTGCAAAATTCCGGCATTTGAAAAATGGTTGGTGGTTTCAATTTGTGCATTCACATAACCATCAAAACTTGGCTTTGCCTGTATATGATTTATAGTCATATTGTATACCAGAGTCATTGATCATGCTTCCTCCCACTCTTCCTTAAAGAGCACAGCTCATCTTGTCCAGTAACCCTCTTAAATCTCCTGCAGAACTATGAACCGGATGAACTGACCAAAGAGATGGCCCACCTGGAAGGATTAATGAAGGACCTTAATGCCATCACTACAGCATGAACATCTTCACCAGGACATGACTCCAAATCCAGTTTCACAAGTCTTGGAACTCAGCCTTGGAACACAAGGAATTGTACAGAGAAAGAGAGGGACAGCACACGAGAGCAGACGTAGAGAGCAAACAAACCAACTGGTGCATTAATGCTAATGCTGGTTAAAAAGATGACTTTTCTCCTCCTCATCCTGAAACAAAGTCATTGCCAAGTTGAAGTCTTGTTTGCCTGCTGAGACCATGCAGGATGGGACACTTCAGGTGAAATCTAGTGTCCAAGCAAGAGGGGGAAAAAAATCAAATGGACTTTACATTCTTTTTCTGGTCAGGTTTTGTCTCAGTGGTGTGATTGCCCTGCCTTTTCAGTGTTGGACATTCGCATTTATGTACAATTTTATTTGTGTGTTTTTATTTTATTTTATCTTTTTTTATAAAAAGGAAAAAAATTGTGTAATCTGAAAAAAAAGAAAAACATTGTTGTTTTCCACAGCCTAGACTGATGTTTGACTGCTTGTTCTATTGTGTGTGGAAATTCATTGCCAGTGTGGGGTATTCTGTTTTGGTTTTTTTATTCTGCATATAATTACATCCCCTTCCAGCAGTTAATCCATGGCCATTTGGGATGCTGCATTGCTATTTGTAAGCTCTTTTATTATTTTTATATTATAATTATTAAAAGCCTGACTTTCTCCTCTCATCACTGTGAGATTACAAATCTGTTTGAATTGAAATGTAACATTGAAAGACTTGTTTGTCGCTTTTTGTGCAGTTTCAATACTTTGATGGGGGGAAAGTTAATGGGGAAGGGGGAGGGGAGCCAGGGGCTAATGGGAGGTTTCCTTATTGTTGTTTTCCAGTCTTCATATGTTCACTAAAAGACTGAAGAAAATGAAAGCATCTTCTGTTATGTCCTTTCTTGTAACTTAATTATATCTCTGGTTATTAGATTGCAGTGGGAGTGTCATTTAGAACCATTTTTTAAAAGTTCCTCTTATACAGTAGGATTCCTTATGTACAGATGACATCACCATTTATTTTGGCAACAGTGCTTGGATTTATTGTTAGCTATAATTTTAAAGATCCTACAGATCTTAAAACTTTTAAGTGCAAATTGAGCATTATTTCAGTTCTTAGAACATACAGCAGTCAGCAGTGCACAGTTTGCACAACACTTCTCCGCTGCTAGGGTGCTTAAATCTGGGGTTTAAGTGCTGGCATATCCTGAAGCAGAGAAAGGTGGAGCTCTTGTAATCCAGCAGGATAGCATGCTTTTGGAAACAATCAAACCCCACCCATAGGATCTTTTAACTAGATAAACCCCACCCAGAGGCTCTTTCAGCTAGATGAACCCTAATGTAGTTTTGCTGTCCCAGGCCATTTAAACAGTGCTTTGAAAAGAATCTTAAATGTTCAACTACAATCAAGGCAAAATGTATTTTTCTACATATTTAAAACCCGTTGAAAAATCAGTGTTAATGACTCAGGTGCTGTTCACACATCTCTCTAGGAGGGGGAGGGAAGTTAAAAGAGAATTCCTGCATGAGGAGAAAGTGGTGGGGCGAGGTAAGTGAAGTGTCTTCTTTTTCCTCCTTGCACACTTGCTGCCATGTGATATACCAGCATGCTTGGCTGTGCCACACTCGGCAATGGTGACTGGCCTGAGGAGTAGTGTTTGATGAAATCTCAGCTTCCCATGGAACTCATATACACACTTTTTTGAAGAAAGGAAAACAAGAACTTACTGATGGCTTTATATGGAAAATCTATTCTGCCAAAGCAGGTTAATGATAGGAGAGGTGAGGGGAATAGCACTTCCAGTGGGCACAAACTGGCTGTCTGGGAGACACTTGCACTTCTCAGAACATTGAGCAGGAAACATTAGGATTTATGTAATAAAGAAAGCAATAAGACTGCATATTCTTTTCCTTCTATCCATTGGATTAAAAGCTGACCCTCTAGGCTTATGGTTTGGTTCCTGACACTGAGAAGGGACGCAATGAATCATCCTGGAAAGTAGCTGGGACTTATTTGGGATTTGACTTCCTTTCTTTTCCTAGACTCCTTGTGTGTTGCCATTTCCAGCGGGTTTGCTGGTATTATTTATTATTTGGGTGGGGGATGGGGGGCGTTGGTGAAAAGTGCAACATTTGAGTACCCTGGGCCACCTGAAAATAGATGTTCAGGCCTTTGTCAATACAATTCAGGACAAAATAAACTACAGAAGTTGTATTTAATGAACAAAAACACACACTTGGATGCACATGTTGCTTGTAAGGGTGGTGTGTGTTTTCCTCTGATCTATACCCAAAGAAATGCCATCATGTGTATTCAGTACTCTTAGCTGGTGGGTCTTTGTGAATATTACTTATGTACAACACAGGGAATGTTAATATTGCCATTGAATTTGGGGTGGGGGCTAGTATATTTTTACTGATAAAACAACTGTTCAAAGTTGTTGTTTTTTAAGGTTAAACTAAAAGAAATACTCAAATCAGTGTACAATCTGTATTGCACTTTTTCACATTTTAATGCTACATTTTCTTACATATCCTGTGATTTTGAATTTGAAACATTGTGTATCTTGTAGTGTCGTAGCTAGGCTGTTAAATGGCAGCTTCCTTCAGAAGGATTTGGGAAAAAACAAAACAACCCAGTATATGGTTTTATGATTCTGATGTAGGAGAATTTTGAGGACTGCTGTAGAATTCTACCTTTCTGTACAATTTTTTTTCCTTTTCTGTAGTATTTGCTGTATACTCTATGGCTTTTTTAATAACTTCATGTTTATTATTTAGTATTGGATATCCAATACACATTTTTTAATCCAATCAAATTCTGGTCTGCTTGGAGAGTTTGTTCCCTTTGTTCATTCCCATATATCAAGGCTGATTCCCCACTCTGGCACTTCGAGTGCAGAAGGTGGGGGCCTGCAAGGATACTAAAAATTAATACTGGCCACTCCAGGCTTATATTAAACTCCCAAGGTTACAGCTTTTCTCTGACCTTGGATTGGTAGATGCTGCCATCACCCAAGAGCAGAACCCCTTTGAGAGCCCAGGAAGGCGCACTTGGGAATTCCTTCCTATGGGGTACTCTCAAGCCCTTTCATCCCCCTCCGGGGAAGAGCTGAGAAAGGGAAAAAAAAAAACGGAAATCAGCTGTTGCCACCAGCTAATTAAACAACATGAGCACAAACCTCTTAAGACACAAAAATCCAATTCTGTTCTAAAAAAGGTAAATTGTATTAAAAAGAAAATACATCTGGAAACTCAAGCTATTGCTAGATTTTAAAAGAGCAATTATAAGGATTAAGCACCAAAAATAGCTTTCTTGATGTCTAAAGGTTACAAGCAAAACAAAAGCACCTGGGGTTAGCACAGAGGAATCCACAAGCCATAACGAAATAAAAGGAATAAACCTGATCGTGTCTTCCTAGACATTCCTGATCTACTTACATATCTGGGGTTTGAAATAAGTAGTTCCTAGGTATGAGACTGTTGATTTTTCATACCTGACCCAAGCTCTTACAGCATAGGTGCTGCCCTGTCTACTTCTCCCTGGGAGAACAAGAACAGACAGACAAAAGGGGAGTCTTGTTTCAATTTTAAAAAATTCTAACCTTCCCATTGGCTCTTTTGGCCAGGTGCCCACTCACCTCCTTTTACCTATGCATAGCAGTGAGACTTTTTAACCCTTTACAGGTAAAGCAATTAGAGAACAGCTACTAAGAGGGGTTTTATAGCTACTGGCTGGCTGGGTGTCCATAAAAGGGAGCTACCCCTCCTTCATTTATCACACCATATCTGCTAGTTTTTAACCCTTTGGGTGTTCCAGGATTACTCATACCTGTTTTTCCTTCTGGGTTAAATGGGTGGAGCAGCGCAGAGTTGAGGGGCTCAAAGGGAAAAGGCAGAAGCATCACGTTACTGTCAGTGGAGTGTGTTTCTCCAACATGCACACAGTGTCTTTGCACTTAACTCCCCTACATTTCAGAAACTCACCAGCATAAATCTCCTCTTCCAACAAACTTGCCCCATAATAAGAGTATTTCAAAGCAATGAAATATGCTATGGAAAGTGTCCTTAATACAATAAACCCACAAATCCATAGAGGAACAGAATTCTAATGCTTTGCACTTAGCCGTTTGTATCTGTAGATTTCAAAGTGTTTACAATGTGGGGTAAGTATCCTTATTTTACTGATCAGAAATAGAGGTAAGTTACTTCTCAAGCCAGTCACCTAGTTACTTCCCTGGCAGAGTCTGGACTAGAGCCCAGATCTCCTGGCTCCCTGCCCTGAATGCAGTCTACAAGACCAGACGGTCGCCAGCCCATGATGAGCAATATTCCATGTGTTACATTATTGGGATGATCTCTCCAAGTGCTTCCCATTTTCACACTCACCTCAAGCCTGGTTCTCCTAGGATACGTCTACACAGCCCATGAGAGCTAGCCTCTGACCCAGGGCAACAGAGTCAGTCTGATTCTGTTTGTTTCCACTTAAGCTTTGGCGATGTGTTGAGGAATTAGATGGGAATTGGACTCCAACGTGTTTCTAGGGAGCTACCTTTAGTACAGCAGCTGACCAGGGACTTTGTGGGTATATAGGAAACAGGGAGTTTACAAAGAAATTTACCTCATTTTTGTACAATGGTGCATTTATCAAACAGCCCATGAATGTTGCATAATCTGTACCTAAACCAGACAGAGAAAAGGTTGAAAAGGCTAAGCAAACACCTTGCCTAAGTTAAAAATGGAAAGAGATGGCTGTTACATTGGTCACTTCAGGTAATTTGATGGTATTGGCTTTGCAACTTAAACTAAACTTGATACAAATTTTATAAGGTGGAGGGAGGAGAAGTGACCTTTAGAGGGCAGAGGTGATCTTAAGTCTCTCACAAGAAGAATTTCTCAGGTTGGCTGGCTACTAACTCCCACAGACTGGCAATGACAAGGCATAAACGCCAGAGGGCAGCCAATCCCACATATACCTCACAGTTAAACATAGCACAGGGATAGGCAACCTATGGCATGCGTGCCAAAGGCGGCGCGCAAGGTGATTTTCAGTGGCACTCGCACTGCCTGGGTCCTGGCCACTGGTCCAGGGGGCTCTGCATTTTAATTTAATTTTAAATGAAGCTGCTTAAACATTTTAAAAACCTCATTTACATACAACGATAGTTTAGTTATATATTATAGACTTATAGAAAGAGACCTTCTAAAAACATTTAAATGTATTACTGGCACGCGAAACCTTAAATTAGAGTGAATAAATTAAGACTTGGCACACCACTTCTGTAAGTTTGCCGACCCCTGACGTAACTTCATTATTGGAAAAACTTGTAGCATGTGATCATCCATCAAATGAGTTATTTGCATTACTATAGCATCTAGGAGATCTAGTCATGACCAGGACCCATTGTGCTAAGTACTGAACAGACTGCATCCCCCTGTCACTGCATTGTTAGAGCATAGCATTGCACTGGTTTAATCTAGAGTGTTAATTTAAACCAGTTTAGTTAAACCATGCAAACTCCTGTATGTCAGGGCCAGCTCACAACATTTTGGCACCTGAGGCGGGGAGCTCAAATGATGCCCCCATGCCCCTTCGCTTGGGCCAAAACTTTGAAAGGTCTCAATTTTGCCTTCTTCCTGTTCTACTCCTCTCAAGGTACTGCTCTGCTACTACTCCAATAAA